GGGGTTCTTTTTAGCGGTAAACGCGCAAACTTGTGTCTTCTGAGGATTAAATTGGACTAGATTTAGTCGCCCCCAATCCGAGACTTTGTCCAGCAAAGACTCGACTTCAGACACAAGTTTGTTCCGGTACTCGGCGACGTTTTCCCGAGAAATATTGGCCCGGCCGGTGTATAGAGCATCACCAGTGCTGTCATCCGCATAGCAATGAATGTTACCAGTTAGCAACATATCATTGATATGCAGAAGAAACAGCGTTGGTGATAGCACACAGCCTTGTGGAACACCAGCGTTAATAGGCTTGTAGTCAGAACATGCACCGTCTACAACGACCTTGATGCTCCGATCTGCAAGAAAGCTGGTGATCCAATTGCACAATTTCTCGGGAAGCCCATAGGAAGGCAGCTTTGAAAGAAGCGCTTTGTGCCAAACCCGATCAAAGGCCTTCGCAATGTCCAGACTAACGGCCAACGCCTCCCCCTTGGACTCTACTGCCTCCGCCCATCTATGAGTCAGGTAGACCAGAAGATCACCAGCTGATCGACACCGACGAAAACCGTATTGGCGGTCACTAATCAGCTGGTGATCCTCAAGGTACCGGATGAGCTGTAAGTGGTTGCTGTGACACATAGACATCTACATCTATCCTCAATAAAGAATTAAAATGCAGATGCGTTATCACCAGTGACGACTAATATGCAATGCCTCTTTTCCAGTAAAAAGGTTCTCCGGTTCTCTACACTCACTCTACGAAACATAGCATTATTTAGCTGCTATTTTACGCTGGTATTCTGTGTGAGCGTAGTCCTTTCCCGGTCGAACCAACCCATTCGTGCTACAACTATACTACTAATATATGGCTCTTCCAAGTATATGTAGAAGTTATTTTTTATCTTTATTATTTTATCTTGTACCAAATCGTTTTTGTTATTTTAATTTTTGTTTGATTTCACTTTGTTATTTTTATATCTAATAATTAAAATCAACTATTAATTTATGCAAATAATAAGCAATAATACTATATATTAATAATATTACACTAAATATTAAACATGGTCATATCACAGGATTTCTGTACACAACAGTCTCACAGATCTGGAACGTTTCATGCTGTAGCAAGCTAGCAAGTACAGAGTGGTGTCCTTTTTGGTGCATGAACTGTTACGAGTTTATACAAGTCATATTATTCCTTTCTTCTCTCACTTTTATTAGGTTACAAATACTACCTAGCCATATCATATCTTATTTTATACCATGGGAGCAACCTTTATTATATAATTGTCCTTATTAGCGCTAAAGAAAACATGGATATGGTCGTAAACCTGCATGTCTTACAGTCTTATTCCAAAAAAATGTTTTAGTACTGGGTTAAGTTTAGGAGTAAGAAGTCCAGGTTTGTTACAATATTCTAGTTAATACCAGCACTAAAACGTGTGCTTATTACAAAACGCAGACTACCCGAGGACCAGTTAATACCAACGTTAGTATTATATTAAATATCATTCACAGATAAAAAACAAAAAATGACACTCTATCATTCGTTCATACAGGTTTCATTCAATGCAACGTTCGGTTTCATAAAATATTAATATTATTTTCACATTTAATTATGCTTAAATAATTATCCATCAATACAAAAACATATCATACATTGTTATTTGTTTACGTTAAAATCTATTGAACAAGCACGACATATACTTTTGACGCGCTTTTGATTATATCAAGTTGTTTTCAGTTTAACAACTCTAGCGTGAAATGTAGTGAATTACAGAGGTAACGCGAGCGCGGGATTTGAGACGTTCAAAATAGTTTATATTGCAGCCTTATAATAAGTAAATTAAATTATTAATAATTAATTAAGTACTTGCTATTACAGTTATATTTATATAATAATGGAACAAAAGAAAAAACGGGGTGAAAATTGGAGTTCTGAAGAAAAAGTTAGTGAAATATCGAAATTTGTCAGTACGTAGCAATACTCTTATCCTCCTATTATCCTTATTTCAACTAAAAGGAATGTTCTTATTATTATAGGAAATATTACGTACACTTATTTCACAATCAGCACATATAATAGAGAATAAGTCGACAAAAACATCGGTAAATATTCAAAAAATAAAAGAGTGGAAGAATATAACTAATAAGTAAGTACTTATCGCATTTGTTATGTGTACAAATAGGTATGGTATTGTTTACGTGATTTCGTATTTTTTTTTAGATTTAATGAGATAACAGGTAAACGCCGATCAGATGGTGAATTGAAATTATCTTGGAAAAGAACGAAGTTGTGTGCTAAATTATATGCATTTTATTTACACCTTCTCTTGAGGACTTGGAAATAATGTCCATTGCCCCTCACGACTTTATCGTTGAAGTAAATAATTATGATAGTGATGCAGTGGTAAATAAAATTACTTACATGTCTTACAAATTTAATTAAAATTAAAGAACTTTATTTTCCATTACTTTAGTACCTAAGTAGTGCTCTGAAATCTACTCTTAAAGCATACAATTTACAATCCAAAATTATTTTCCGAATATTCAAAATTTAATATACTTAGTAACAATTTAACATAAATTTCTTTATAATTAATTATATTCAAAATTGAAATGTCACAAATTCATATATAGTGGTCTATATAATATCATAACACACATTTTACTAGATTATCTACACAGTCCGATTATAATTTTCTATTTTTGTCTATTAGGTATTATAATTAATAATTTATTAAATTACCTTTTGTCTTGGATCATAATAATATTTCTACAACATAGAAAATACCTGATTCAATAAAGGGCAAAATAGAGATGACAGGTGACAGGAAAACATGTTAATAAATGTTTTAATGATTTATTTTAGGATCCAGTGACTGTGGCTACAACATCAAAAGAAGTTGCTGACCCTAAGCCTCGCCTTAATTTTGAAAAAACAGACACAGCTATAGTTAAAAATGTAGAAAATCCAGAACCCAATGTTGTATATGTGCAAGGTAAATAATACTGATTGAATATTTATTAAAAAGCAAAATATATTATTATTATAGTTACAATCATATGCATACAAGTTTGTAAATATTATAAATGTTAATTTTCTAAAACTGTTATATTTATATTAATTTTTAGAGATAGATCCAACTACAGATACAGAAGAAAGTGCCAAAATGGTGAAAATAACCAACAATAAAGATATTATTACTAGGGGTATAACAAAAATTAAAAACAGGAAAAATAGCTTGCAAAATAGGTATGTTGAAAAAATTACATAGTCTGATACATTACATACTTTTTAAAATGTGAAAATTAGTATTTAAACACTGAAAATTGTTTCATGTTTTCAAATATTAAAAGCAAAGTTTAATATGAATTGATTTAAAAATAATTAAAAAATATTTCTTTAATTGGTGTACAAGGTTAAGTGCACTTTTATTACTCTAGAATACTTTGTAAATTTCTAAAATAACTACAAAACTTACATTAAGTATTCCATTTCATTTTACAGAAGAGAAGATGTACACCAAACAATTGTAAAAAGTAACACAGATTTTAAAAAAAGACAACTGGAAATGATGGAAGAGGAACATAAATACAATATTAAAATAGCTAACCTAAAAATTAGAAAATTAGAGTTACAAATATTTTTATTAGAAAGTCAGAAAAACACAAGTTAAATAGCAACTTAATGCTGCTGTGTTTATTATGGTGAGTTTATAGAATGAGAATAGAATAGAATGATTTTTATTAAATATAGATTATTACAGAATACTTATTGAAAGACTAAATACTAGTAAGAAACCCAGCGGGACTTTTTTATAAACATATTTCTCTTAACAATAATTTTATTTGTACAATTTTTAAATGAATTTTAATAGAACCACCATGGTGGCGATCACCTCAATTCCAGTATTTCCAATATTCTCATTTATGTATTCTTTGATATTATAATAACCTTTTTATAAAATTTTTCTTTAATAAAACATTTAAACTTGTTTATTGACAAATTTTCGATAAATTTTTGTACAAAGTTTGTATGAGAGAGACCTCTTTTACAGGAAACGAGGCATTCCATCTTACTCCACACGGGTGACAACGCATCTGCATTTTGATTTGTAGTCGAGGATAGATGTGGACGTCTATGCACCACAGCAGTTACTTAACATCAGATGGACTGTGTGTGTGTATGTGTGTGTGTGGTAGACTGTGTTTATCACCATTATCCTATAAAAAAAACTAAATATTTGAGACTATATCAGATACATGTTTGTAAATATCCTCATATATGAAACAATTATTTTCAGGTACTAAATTGCTGCAAATATTTGTACATCTTTTATTAATAATTAAAATAAATAATTATAATTAATATGCATTTTATTTACATAACAATGAAATATAATATACAATAGTAAAAAACTATAATAAAAAAAACTAAACCTAATTACTTAGTCATCATACAGTCCTACTCCCCGTGGACCCTTGCACCTCTGGAAAGGAAATCTGGCTGTGAATGTAGAGGAGGGACGATATTTATTAAAAAATCTAAACATATCTCTAAAGCACTTAAATCTTTATATAATATAGCTTCATATTGATGTGGAATGTGCTGTACCCCGCATCTTTCCCTGAAACACAATCATTTATAGCCTAAATAAAAGCATTTTGCTCAATAAATGAAATATTATCACAATACTCCCCTGAATTTATTTCATATTGGTGAATATGTAGTCGTTATTCTTTGACAGCTGACAACGGCTCTGCAGAAATATTTTCCTTTATAAATGGGTATTATCTCTGAAATCAAAAAGAAATATTATTATAATTGTCTTATACATTTATTGATCCTTAATGTAATTTTATAGCCAAAATTGGCCTCTGAATAACAAAATAAAATAAATTATATATACATAGCTTTAGACAATTGAAAAAAAATTGACAATTTTATAAATATAATTATTAATTTTAATTATAAATAGCTATATAAATATGTAAAAAAAAATGTTTACCTACTGAAAATGAGTTTCAATAAACTGTCTTCTTCTAATATTTCCCCTTATTGATGGTGCAATATATCTTTGTACTATAGGTTCAGATGAATATTGTTCAATGCTATCTCTCTCACCAGAAAACACATCTTCTCTCATGTCGATGGCCATATTGTGTAGTACAGCACATGCAACAATTGTTTTTTTTGCTGTTTCAATATCTCCAAACATACCTCTTAATAGGCAACGAAACCGTTGCTTCCACAAACCAAAACATCTTTCCACTGTGTTCCTGGTACGGATATGGCTCCTATTATATCTTTCTTCTTGTGGTGTTGTGGGGTTCAGCAGCGGTGTAAATAGGTAAGGGGTACAAGGATAGCCACTGTCACCAAGTAATATTCCAGAGAATGCACCAGCCTCAAACCTCTGTTTTAGTCTACATTCTCGGAATATTCTGGAGTCATGTACACTACCACGCCACCTGGTAACAATGTCCATGATTTTCAGGTCAGCGTCACAAACCACCTGTAAAATAAGAGCTCATTAGTACTTTATGTTTTTCTGGTTTATTTTAATATATATTTATTACCATAAGATAGTCAAACAAATTATTTTCTATTATGATAAAGTAAAGTTATTAAGAGACAATCACAGCTATTTAAAATATTTGTATATTACCTGTACATTAATTGAAGAAAATCCTTTTCTATTAATATATAACTGACCCCCATCAGCATTCACTTTCTTTACTCGTATGTGAGTACAGTCAATTGCGCCAATTACTGTAGGAAAATTAGCAATACTGCGAAATTTCCTAATGGTTTCCTGCTGTTCATTTAAAGTAGTAGGCATTTTAATAAATTCTCGGGACTTCCGTGACAAAATTTCCGCTACTTTTTTACATGTCCTACTTACTACTGGTTGAGACACACCATGTAAATCAGCTGTATCGTCTTGAATCTACGAATAAAACAATAATATGTATTATCTGGCTTTTTATCTAGCGTAATGTTAGGTACATTGACCCCACCAAGATTATAAACAGCACTTACTTCATGGCGAGCCCAGTTGCGTAATGCACAAACCACTTGAATTTCAGGACTCAATGGGCATCCTCGAGGGTCGTGCACTAAATCCTCACGTAAGATACCCACTATTTTTTCTCCGAAACGTTTTGAGAACCTATACTTATACCTAAAATCTTCGTCACTCAATTCAAACGGATTCACACGATGTCGATGTCTATCAAGTCGCCGAGTAGTGTCTAGCATGTCCAAATCTTCTAGATCCATCAAGTCAATCATGTTAATATCCATTTTTAACGATTTTAATAACACCAAATGAAAACAACGCTCACCTCAAATTAAGAAGTACCGAAATTGAGGTTAGTATAGAGTAGAGTACCACAAACTATATAGAAAGGTTAGTACCATAGCTAAACTAGGGGTCTCGAAAGATTAACTTTAATACCATAGATAATCCTTGAACCAGAGATAATCTTCGTTTTGTAATAACGTTTTTCTTAGTTTATGGTTTAAATATATTACTAACTCCAGTACTATATTAAGTCCGTGTTTTGGAATAAGGCGGTTAGAGTTAAAACATTTCAAAATCATAGGGACCACACCTAGTAGGACTAGAGCATCGTAATGGACTTTGACCAGCCTTGCACTGATACTTCCTTATGGAGCAATTATAGATAGGCCTGCTTAGAGGTATGCTTACAATTGGTACTTCATTTATACATATAGTATGAAGGTGAACCGATAAAAGGCAAATGTAGGTTTGCAAGGCACGTCGCGTAATATAGGGGCGAGTCGGTAATAGGTTTATTGATTAAATCTGCCACTGTTAACGTAATATTCCACTGTCACTCTGTTTGAATAATCACAATGTAATTAGCACGTAAACAGTGAACAAGACATGAGTTGTCAAATTATACACACATAAGTATATAGATATATATGTATAAATGTATATAAATGTGTATATTCATAGCCTCATAGCCTCCGTGACGCAGTGGCTTAGCATTGAGGTGCAGTGCTAAGGGCCGCGGGTTCGAATCCCGCACGGAACAAGTAGTTTGTATGGCTTACAAGTAATTGTTCCGGGTCTGGATGATTGTCCTTGTGAAATGTATGTATGTAAACTACAACGGAGTGGAGGTACCGTTTAAAAAAAAGATAAATACAACGTACACACATGCGTTAAATCATAAATCTATGCCATATTCCAATAAGATGTGCCAGATTCCAATAAGACTTATTCATCAGTCATTATAGCCAACTAAAAGTCCACTGCTGAACATAGGCCTCCCCATAGATTGCCTCATAACGGGGATGATGATGATAGATTGTGTGACTACCCGGTTACACATGCAGGAAGTCGATTCTTACATGTAGATGGGCAATTTAAAATACTATTTTTTGGATTATAACTGAAAATTTTCATCAGTTTTATTCAATGAAAAATATCTCTGTGATCAAAAGCGACAAAACACTATTTTCGTAATTATCATCAATGTTTTTTTATAGGATAAGAATGACAAACGAGCACACAGTCCACCTGAAGGTAAGTGGTTGCTGTGGCACATAGATATCTACATTTATCCTTGACTAAGAATCAAAATGCTGATGCGTTGTCACCCCTGAGGACTAAGATCGAATGCCTTGTTTCCAGTAAAAAGGGTCTCCGTTTCTCTACACTCACCATACGAAACACAGCAGCGTTAAGCTGCTATTTTACGCTGTTATTCTGTGAGAGCGTGGTCCTTCCCCGGTCGATCTACCCCTTTCGTGCTACAACTATTATAGTTACAACGTGGCTCAAATTGCGTGGCTAAAAATGCAAGTAGGTCATGTGCGTGTGCGTGTGCGTGTGCGTGTGAGTGTGCGTATGTGTATGCGTGTGTGTACGTGTGTGTGTGTGTGTGTGTGTGTGTGTGTGTGTGTGTGTGTGTGTGTGTGCGTGCGTAAGCATGCTCCTGCGCGTACATCTGCGTGTGCGTGCGCGCGCTCGCACGCCTGCGAGTGTGTGTATGTGTGCATGTGTGCGTATATGTGTGTGCTTACGTGAGTGTGTGTATGTGAGTAGATTTTGAAAGATTATGAAAATTTGTATTTAGCTATTTGGTTGAATTAGTTTCAATGGTTAAGTATAAGCGGTGACTGTTGTAAACGATTTTTAGTGTACAAAATTTGACAGCTACATACCGAGAAATAGAGCTATCTATTTTTAAATCAAATTAACGAATTTATTTTCTGCAATTTTATATATTGAATCTCGAAAAAACTAAGTAGATGTGTACTTATGTAGTACGTATATAACATTTTCTACATTATCCCAATCATATTATTAGTATGATTCTTAAAATATACATACTTTCAATACCCCAATAATAGTGACAAAATAAGGTTCATTATTGTAGTATGACTAAGTGCTGCTTATCAAAGTTTTATCGTTCATGGTATCCATGGATAAGTTCTGGTTGGAATATGTAGGGCACCCTGCGCACCCCGCGCCTGCTCGGGAGGCTAAAAACCACACGAGTGATCGAGGGTTAATGATTTACTGTTTAACAAATTCGACGACCAAATTTTCGAATACAAATCTTTTGATTCCGTTATACAATTCGATGCCGTTGTCCACTACGCCACAGAATTTTTAAATACTTTAAAACTTTATCTCCAACTGTATATACTTACTGTTACAGTTGGAGCACTTGTAATGTTGTACAGAAATCTTAATCCAACAAAATTGTGTAATGAAACCAGACTCCAATATTATAGCTGCCACAGTAATTACCGGGGCTGGTCCTGGAGAAGGAACTAAAAATTCCCATTTTTTTATAGGATAAGGGTGACAAACGAGCACACAGTCCACTTGATAGTAATTGGTTGCTGTGGCCCATAGACATCTACATCTATCTTCGATTAAGAATCAAAATGTAGATGCGTTGTCACCCGTAAGGACTAAGATGGAATGCCTCATTTCCAGTAAAAAGCGTCTCCGGTTCTCTACACTCAGCGAACGAAACACAGCAGCGTTAAGCTGCTATTTTACGCTGGTATTCTGTGAGAGCGTGGTCCTTCCCCGGTCGAGCCAACCCATTCGTGCTACCACCATAATATAGCTGCAGCATGGCTCTACCACGTATGAACAAAAAAAATCCCTTAATTCCTTCGGACTTTTTAAATACCATAAGATGTATTTACAATTAAAGTTCCCTACCTATCTGTGCTTTCGCATCACCGTCATAAATCCTAAGAACATACAACAATATGGTCGGAGTTGACTTAAAGAAAACTGCTTTTCATGCGGTGTTTTTTTATGGCATGTTTTTAGTTGAGTTTCGCCAGTATTCAGATCATCTTAGCCACAAAAAGGAACACAGCAAAGTGTGTTTAAAAAGAGGTGTTTGGCTATTATGAATAATTTTTTGGCGGCGATATCATCGCATCACAAAATTAGAAACCACGCTATCGATGTTTTCGAACGACTATGCTTATATAGAACAAGCTCCATATTACCCCACTCGGAGCACTGGCTGCTTCCTGGGCTGAACATCTTTCCCAACAAGAGATCTTCCCTATTGCTACCAAGGGCAAAATTCTTATTTATTTCAAAATCCAGTGGACGAAGTTGCAAGTAGAAATCTAGTAAAATACATACCATTATCAAACACGTGTCCTAATATTAAACATATAATAGGAACGTAATTATAGTTGCAACCAAGCTATTCCTTAACTCTTAATAAACTTAATGACTTTGACATTAAATATGTCTGTACAATATGATTCTATAATATATTACTTTAAAAAAGCCGTGCTAGTTCAGGGCATTAAGCACTTTTTATTAAGCTGCATAACTGAGATAAAAAAAAATATTTAGATGAAAAATGAAGTCTGCCAATAACATTGGGGCACTGCGAGGGATTTCTTCTTAACCTGAAACTCTCTCGGTATGGCACGTGGTCCGTGTCCAGCAGTGCAACGAATTATTTTACATATTTTACTTTAAAAATAATTACGCTTGGCTTGTAGCTAGTTCAGATGTGTATTTTAAAAGGCCTCCATTAAAGGAGGAGGTTTTCAATTCGACTGTATTTTTGTATGTGTTACCTCAGAACTTTTTTCTTTGTGAACCGATTTTAATGACCCTTTTTCATTTGAAAGCTGGTGCTTCTCATGTGCCCCGTATAAGTTTGATCAAGATCTAACCAGTAGTTTTTGTGTTATCCTTAATAATGCGTATTTAATTGACTTCAACTACATTGATGATGTTTACATGTCATTTTATTTATATTGAAGTCGGCTGTACAAAATTTATAATTTTACCACTTGTTCAACACAATGTCACAAATAATTCAAAAGATGTCGTTCAATATAGGTTGGTATATATATTATCCATTTACCATATTTTATATATTATCCATTTACCATAGCATAAATTAGGTAAATCATCATTCTCTAAACCATTTCCCATTATCTGGGGTCGGCGCAGTAAATCTTTTTGTTCCATTCCTCTCTATCAGCCGTCATTTCCATACTTACTCCTTTCATTCTCATATCACTCTTCACACAATCGATCCATCTTTTATTCGGCCTTCCTCTGCCCGTGTGTCCCTCCACATTCATATTCAACACTCGTTTTGTGACATGACTTTCATTCCTCCGCATCACATGCCCAAACCATGCCAATCTGCTTCCTCTCACCTTTTCTACCACTGGCGCTACTTTCAGGCTTCCTCTTATATACTCATTCCTTATCTTATCCATCCTTGTCACACCACACATCCATCGTAACATTCTCATTTCATTCGCATGCAGTCTATTTTCATCCTTCTTCTTGACGGCCCAGCATTCACTTCCATACATGACGACAGGTCGGATGATCGATTTGTAAATTTTCCCCTTCAGCCTTATTGGCATTCGGGGATCGCACGTTGTGGCTGTGACCTGTCGCCATTTCATCCACCCTGCGTTAATCCTATGCTGCACAGCTCTATCTATTCCGCCGTCGCCTTGAATGAAGGAACCGAGGTACTTGACATCTGAGCAGATAGGCAGTATAGCGCCATCCAACGACATGGGTACAGGACTGGAAAGACCGCCGAAATCACAGCACAGATATTCGGTTTTGGATCTGCTGATCTTCAGGCCAACACTTTCCAGCCTCCGTTGCCACCCCGTCAGTCTGCTCTGTACCTCAATGCCTTCTTCCCCGACAAGCACGATGTCATCGGCAAAGAGCATGCACCAGGGTGCCTCATCCTGCAGGTCCGACGTCAAAGCGTCCATAATCAGTAGGAAGAGGTAAGGGCTCAGTGCCGACCCTTGGTGCAGCCCTACCGCCACATCGATACTGCCCGTAGTTCCCGCGGCAGATCGTACACATGTACGGGATGCTCTGTACATAGCACGGACCAACCTCACATACTTCCCAGGCATACCTTTCATCTTTAACGCCCACCACAAGACCTCACGGGGAACCCGATCGTACGCCTTTTCAAGGTCGACAAAAACCATGTGCAAATCTTTATGCACGCGCTTGTACTTTTCGCACAATTGGCGTAATGCGAAAATGGCATCTGTCGTACCTCGCCCGGGCATGAATCCGAACTGGTTTTGTGTTATCTCACACTCTTCTCTCATTCTTCTCTCTATTATTCTTTCCCAGACTTTCATCGTATGTGACATGAGCTTTATTCCCCGGTAACTGCTGCAGTTTTGAACGTCTCCTTTGTTTTTAAAAATGGGAACCAGTATACTACTGCACCATTCCTCAGGTATTTGTTCTTCCTGCAACAATTTACCGAAAAATAAACTCAACCACTTCCATCCATCCGCCCTCAGCAACTTCCACACTTCTACTGGTATTCCATCTGGGCCGACCGCCTTCCCATTCTTCATATTCCTAACAGCCATTTTTACTTCTTCCACACTAATTTCTCTCACTAAGCCCATATTCACTGGTGGGTTTTCAAGCATACCATTCCATTCATTCTCCTCATTCATCAATTTCTCAAAATACTCCTTCCATCGCTTCTTTATACTTTCATCGTCAGTCAAAATCCTTCCAGAATCATCTTTTATACATTTTACATGTGAGACATCTCTTCCATTCCTTTCTCTCGCTCTTGCAATTTGAAAAAGTCGTTTTTGACCTTCGGGGCTTTCAAGGGACCGATATAATTTATCGTGCGCCTCTGCCCTACAAATAGCAACTTCCTTCTTCGCTCTCTTCTTACATTCTTTATACGCCCCTCTCTTACTTTCTTTTATGGATTCATTCTGGTCTTCTACGCTCTGCCATTCTTTAAAGGCATTTTTCTTTTCTCTCAAAACTTCTCTAATACTTTCACTCCACCACCACCCATCCTTATCTATCATACGCTTCCCTTTTGTTTCTCCTAACACCTTCCTTGCCACACTTCGGATACAATCAGCCATTTCCTTCCAGCACTCATTCACACTCATTCCTTCCATATCACCCATCTCTATCATCTTGTTTACAACTAGCTCTCTAATTTCACTTGCATACCCCTCCTTATGCAACAAATGCCACTTTATTTTGGGTGGGGGACGATCCTTATGTTTGTTGAGGCGAACAGTTAAGCAGATGTCAGCCAGCAGAATTCGGTGCTGGGATACTAAGTCTTCACCTGGAAGCACTTTGCAGTTTTTTACACTCTTGATTTGGTTCCGTCTTATCAGGAGATAGTCGATCTGTGTCGCGTGGTGGCCACTTTTATAAGTAACAAGATGCTGATCTCGTTTTTGGAACCACGTGTTTACTACAGCCAGGTCGAAAGCACATGCTGCTTGCAGAAGAACTTCCCCCTCACGGTTCCGCACTCCGTAACCCCATCCACCGTGTACTCTTTCATACCCGTCATTCAATCTCCCTACATGTCCATTAAAATCTCCTCCCATATAAACATCCTCACGCTCAGGTATTCCCATCATCATACAATCAAATTCCTCCCAAAACTTCTCTTTCACACTCTCTTCACAGCCTGTTTGCGGAGCATACACACTTACAACATTCACTACTTTGTTTTCAATCATTAATTTAACAACTATCATTCTGTCATTTACTCTTTTCACATCTGTCACTCGTTCTTTCATTCCACTATCTAACACAACTCCTACTCCATTTCGCTTCCCATCAGTTCCACAATAATAAAACTTGTATCCCTCCCCAATCTCTCTTGCTTTATTGCCCTTCCATTTTGTTTCCTGCAAACAGGCAACATTCACTCTTCGTCGTTTCAAAACATCTGCTAACTCTCTTCCTCTTCCAGTCATCGTACCTATATTCCAGCTTGCAAACCTCACTCTGACATTCTTCTCTCTCCGGGCTCGCCTCTTACGTCGCACCCGCTCCGTAAGGTGCGACAACCCTTGCCCACTTCCCACAGGAGCCGGGTGCTGCCCCTGCGCGTCGCCTGCGGGGTACGCCCTAGCCCTGTCATATGTCCCACAACTCGTACTATTCATTTACTGCATGGGATTTGGCAAAAGTTTTACAGTCGGCCGCCTGCCTGACACCAACCCTCTTTGGGTATGCTATTGCTGGTAGAGGAAGCTACCATTTTGGGAAAAGGAAAAAGAAGTTTGGGGGGTAGGAGCATAGGTGTAAGGATACTGTTATCTCGGCAGGAAAGGTATGAGAATAACAGTAGCTCGGGGAGCCGGGGTCGCGTACCCGTATTCCATACCAGGATCACCGGAAAGGTAGACCAGCATGAGAACCCCCTGACCGAATTAGGTAAATATATAACATTTATATAACATTAGCTGTGCACGGCATGTCTTGCTCGTAATCGGATAAATGATATAGGTGTATATAGATAGATTACATTGTAGTGTATTTCTAGTTATGTATATTTCATTGATATTCTAAATGGGTTTAGCGAGCTTTGACTGGAGCAACTAATTAACAGAAGCCGGACATGAATAGTATTAAAGCTAGGTCTGGCATCGCAAATGAATGTATGTAGTAAGTTAAATTAACTTCAGTCAAGTCAATAACTTTCGACTAATAAGCATGGATGAATATGGGACTTAGTTTAAACGCGATTAGAGACCTCAGTATGAAGTACATAATTCGTGTTATAAAGGAATATATCGTTCTCAGGTTATCTCAAGGACATATGATGTATATACAGTCCTGCTATAACTTTGTGGCGGTGATGTCGTCGCGCCACAAGCGAAACACATCGAAGCCTAAATCGCGCCAACAAAGATCCAAAATTATAGCAGTATATATAGAATAGCTCCGAACTACCATTCGCAGCGTTGGCCGCTCCCCGGGCAGAACACCTTGCCCGGCGGGAGATTTCCCCCTTTCCTTCCACCGCCACAACTTTATAAAAAGTTTACTTTTGTCTACTACTTTTTAGTTTAAGCTTTATTTCATCGGGCCACATAGTAGCAAATATCAATTTGATTTTTTGGACAATCAGCTAGTAACACTTCAGTTCCACTCGGTAGTATGAATGAGCTTCTTTCCTTATTTACGCTCTTCTTCGCCTCTTCTTCTCTAGGGCTATGAATAGTCTAGTATTAAAAAAAAGCATTGTCTTTGGTTGATTGAAGTTACTTTACCCAACCTATTATATTTAAGAAAGGTTTAGTGTCGTTCTCATGACTTTAGCCCAATACCTGTCTACGCTTATGTTGAAAGTAATCAATAAAGATTGGATTTTACGTAATCAACACGCTCTGCAAGGAAATTAGCAATCGCAATTTCTTTCCTCAGTCATTTACTATATTTCCTTACATTTGTATACGCTTAAAATGAATTAGAGTTGATCAAATCTTTACACCAACATCACATCACATTACTAGTTGTACATGTGTAACATTCGCCTAGTTTGAAATAAACCTATAAAATAATAGAAGAAATAGTACTTCTGTACTATTTGAGTCAAGGTTTTCTATACTTTACTACAATGTAGAGCCTCTTGTATACGTAACGTGCTTACAGTATGATGGTATCATAACGAGGTGGCTACGATCTAACACATAGCCGGCAATTTGACGCCTCGAGCCGAAATGACAAATATGTATGACCTAATTCTCGCTCCAATTGCCGCATGACGCATGGACCTGCAAAATATAAAACACAATGTTTAGTTCTTTTACAAGATGAAAGATAAAATAATAACAATATATTTTTATTACATAATTTCATATTTTCTTAACTCGTTGTTTTTTTTTTAATGAAATCAAGTGATAAACAAACTTACAGTCCACAGGATAGTAAGTAGTTTCTTCAGCGCATGGATGATGGATTGCCTCATATTCTGTAATTAGCAGGGGCTAATTACTAGGGGCTACCGCCGTATCAGCCGTATCTATGATACGGGGCCCCTGGGCTACAGAGGCCCCGAACGTATGTAAGCAAAAATTCTAAGGACTTCTATGGGACAGGATGTTGGTTTGAATTGTTGGGCTAGCTTAGTTCCTAGGAGTATTATAAGTAATAACTTATAATCAATCAATACATAATTATTTTAATTCAATGCGAGAGTTTTTGTTCCTTTTGTGAAAAATCTTTACCCTTCATTTGGGTCCCCCGACAAATTTTGATACAGGGCACGCTACTCCACTGGTAATTAGACTAGATTTTTACCTCTTTACAGAGTATTGTACCTCTTTAAATTTTAATAAAAAGCAAACCATGTCTTAATTACTTATATGGGTGTCAAATGAAACTAGTCCGACGTCGATATAATTTTTTGGTGCAGCGATATTCGAGACAAAAATTAACCTACCTACGTTCATACATACACACAACTTTCTACTAAAAACCATAGCAACCAACTCTAGAGACTTTGAAACGTGATAAATGAAGATATATTAAAGTTTATACTTTGGCAAATCAGCCACATTACAATAATTTTCCGCCGTTAAGTTAATTACGACTTTAAAATTCACGCGCAGAATGGTATCGGAATTAAAGCTATCTCGTTTAGCGGTCACGCGGGAAAAATACCTTAGAATAAGTTTAAAACTTTTAGAAATTAAATGACATTAATCTAGTAGTCAGTCTTTATAGAAAAACACCCTCGATTCCCTATAGAAAAGATTATATTTATTTTCTCCATTCTCTTAAACTTTTGATCTGGGATTTGTTCTAATGAATCCCATTTTAATATCTCCACGTTTTGAGGTCCTCCTGATGCTACCCTTTTAATATAATAATACCTAAAATTTTAAAGACGAAATGGTAATAGTGACTGCAATACAATTTTTTTGACCCGTAATAATAATATATGAATATAGCCGTATCATGATGGCGTAAGGTAAATTCATCACCCCATATCATCTTACGTCGGGTGTCTTTAAAGGCGAAAAAGAAAAATGATGAGCAGCAGAATCTAACTGATAACAACTCAAAATAAAAAAAAACAGCGGTTGAGAGCCCGGCTGCCAAACGTGGCAGTTATGACAATAATCCCCAAATGAGACAATCTATGCCTATGTTCGGCAGTAGACTTTGAAAGGTTGTAATGAATGAATGAGTATATATCCAAATTATTATATTTAATTACTCTTCACTCTATGTGGGCAGTCAAAATGTATCATTAAAGTAAAGGCGCACATGACAATGGTGTGTTAGTCCCTATCTTAATGTATGGTACTGAAAGTTAGGCGTGGAAATGCGGTGATTAAGGAGTATGTTAGATCTGAATTTGAATTAGGGTGAGATATTGTGTGATAAGAGAAAAGTGTAGTTTGTAAGATCATATTGTGACCAGGATTAAGAAAGAAATGCTTCGGTGGTTTGGTCATGTAGAGAGAATGAATGAGGAAAGAGTGACAAAACAAATTTATGTTGCAGAAATGAACGGCAGAGTCGGCAAGGAACGCCTGAAACGGAAGTTTATCGACCAACTTGGCGTTGTATTGAAGATGGGGCAAATTATTAGTATCTTACACCGTGGTAAAGCCACGCTGCAGCTATATTTTGGTTGTAGCACGAATGGTTCGACTCGACCGGGGAAGGACCACGCTCTCACTGAATACCAGCGTAAAATAGCAGCTAGCAGTGAGTATAGAGAACGAGATTTCCTTTTTTTGGAAACAAGGCATTCCATATTAGTCCTCAGAGGTGACAAAACATTTGCATTTAGTTTCTTAATCGACGATAAATGTATCTATGATCTTTGGGCAACAGCATCTACTTCCCATCACGTGGACTGTGTGCTGCCCTTTTGTCACCTTTATTCTATAAAAAACGTACCTAATTTATTATACATAAATTCATCTATGCTAGTAGATTAATATTTATAAAACCACTCAAAAATAATAATTAGATTCGGAGAAAAATAAACTGTTTGGAATATTATCAGTACAAGTTGTTATTTGGTATAAAAATATCAAGCTAAAATCCGTGTGTTCCCTTATTCAGCTACGGCCTTTAACGGTGCGTACACATT